GACAAGAAGCGCCTGTTTGAGATTCTCAGTGCCCCACAGAGATGTAAAATGAAGCCCTTCGCCGCCGTCTGGCGGATACGAAATTCGTGCGGTCATCCGATTTTTGCACGCAAAAACGTTACCACCCATAGAAATTCATCGTCGCTTGAGTGAAGTATATGGAGAAACGTGTATAAGCATTCAAATGATTAAGAGAGTGCTCTGACTGCCGTACGAACGTGCACGATGAACAACGTAGCATGAGGTTGTCGAGGAAGTTGAGGCGAAGATTGAGCAAATTTTGCTCGAAAATCGACGAATCACGATCCGGGAGCAGGCGGTTGAAATTGCTGATACTCAACGAAAAAGCTGAGACGGGCAATCCATTGTCGTCATAGGGGAAAACTCACTAAAGCGTAAGCACCTAGGAGGTCAACGGTTCGAGACGGACGAGGAATTGCAAGGAGCAGTTACCAAGTTTCTAAAAGGGCTGGTGGCAGACTCCCTTGAGGAGAGATTTCACGTCTAAAAAATGCGTAGAAAAAAGGCGATCATGGAGAAGAATACCTTTAAGATCATCTTTTCCAATGGTGCATTCAGTTTTTTTTCAAATAAGAAATTTGTTGTATCTGAAAACAATGCGCGTACCCCATTTTTGAAACAACCCTCGTATTTGGAGTGAAAAGTGTGGTGATTATGCAGTCATATGAACACATTTTGTTACATATTCGAAAATGGGTGAATTTTGGACAAAAATGCCAACATTGCGAACTTTAGATCTTTAAAGAACAATCAAGTGCTACAGTAAAAAAATTGGTGGAAGATTAAAGTATAGGTGAAGTCCGGGAGACTTGCCCCTCCCAATTTATCATTGGTGATTAAATTTGTTCCTATTTATATAAATCAATAAATTTTAGATGCCTTCGTAGCATATATTTTTTGGAACCTTGTTTTATCATTTAAACCTTAAAAAAATAAGTCAGAAAAAAATATATAGGTTTTTTATTTTTTTGAAAACACGGGCAACTCTCCCACATATGCTGGAGACTTGCCTATAGTTAGAAGGAGAGTTACCCACCCCCCTTATTAAATGAAAACAAATGTAAATAATAACTTTTGTATTCGAAACACTCAAAAATAAAATAAAAAACTTCACTTATTCAAGTACGAAACTAAATCTGAATCTTTGAAATCAGAATAAACATAAGTTTAATGCAAAAAACAAATAAAAATAATTTTAAAAAAGTATGAACCTTCTGGGCCATCAGAAACGAAGTCTTCTCGATATTTGATACGAGGGAATATAAAAAAGGGTGGAATAACGATTTCAATTGCATCGACTGCAAAACAAACTGTCACCAAAGTGCCCCTCTCTGATGAAGTAACTTGACCAACCTGCTTAGCTTTTTTACTGGCCAATACCTTAGGGCAATCCTGAACTGTAGTATATCCTGCTTCATCATAGTTATAAATATTTTGTGGTTCAAACTTAAGTTTTTTTCGTTCAATCCTTAAGTTTTGGAAAAAAACGTGTACATTCTTCCGACTGAAGCTTGTAGATCGTGACAAGCTTGTTGCCTCCGGAGTTCTTAAACTAATTTCGGGATTTCTTGATAACAAACCGCGAAACCATTCCTTCCCTGCCATACTATTTTTTGACCAACTTTCTGGAATTGTTTTGGAATTCGAAACTGCAAACTCAAAATTCATTCCTTGTTTTCGATTAAGTCCATAATGCATTTTGCTGCAATTTAAAAAATATTCAACCAGAAGCTTCTCTTCTTGTATGGTGAATATTTGTGAAGTATTATACGGGCCTTTAGTTTCTATTTTTTCAAGTTTATTTTCATTGTTTTTGTAGCGTGACAATTTTCCCGATAAAACATGATCATTGTGACATTAAGCCTGGCAACGCTGCATAGTAGAGGGAACTCTCAGCGTCACGTTGATGGTTCGTCACCACGCACAGGATTGTAATCAGTTACGGATACCCGTTTATGAGCGCGAACGTTTTATGCACGTCTTTACTTGATTTTTCTTGCGGAAATTTAATATTAGTCTAAAATGTCTGACACAGATACAGCTGATGAAGTGGTTGAAATCAGCTTAACGTCACCCAGAAAAAGGGCTAAAAAGCTTCATCTTAGCGCAGGTGAAAAACAAATTATTCTAAATATCTACAAGAACCAGATGCAAGGGAATAGTGGATTGGCTATAGAAAATATCGTATGTAAGGTTGCTGAAATTTCTGGAGTAGGTCGATCAAGTGTTTACAAAATCTTGAAGGAATATAGACAAAATCACTCACTATCTGAGCCAAAAACATATCCAGCGAGAAAAAAAATCATCGAAAAAATAGATGACTTTGACAAAAGTGCCATTAGAAGAAAAGTACATCACTTTTTCTTCAGGAATGAAATACCTACAATAGATAAAATATTGAAGCAAGTGAATGATGATGAGGACCTGCCAAATTTTAAAAGATCTACGTTCCATAAGCTGTTGAAATAACTAGACTTTCGATTTTTGAAAAGAGGAAGGAATAGTTTATTGATAGAAAAGGGGGAAATTGTTATCTGGAGGAGAGAATACCTTAGAAAAATTAGGCAATTCCGCGCTGAAGGAAGAAAAATTTATTATTTAGACGAAACATGGGTGAACGCGGGGCATACGCAGGGAAAGGTTTGGGTAGACAGATCTGTGAGGTCCTCAAGGCAGGCTTTTTTAGATGGCCTTTCGACGGGATTGAAAAATCCTGCAGGTAAGTTTCGAAGTATATGAACTTTTTTGGATGCAGATAATTCATTTTCTGATCGAATCAATGATTTGGAAGCTCCGAACTCAGTTTTGCTATCTCATCCAAGTTTCTGAGTATTTCCTTCACCCAAAAACTAATCTAAGACCCTATCCTACACTAACCTAAAAAGAATAAGTTGCTTAATTTCGTCATTTAGTGCGCTCGCTGAGAAGTAAAATAACTAATTACTTTCAGGCAAGGGAAAACGCCTGATCATTTGCCACATAGGTAGCGTAGATGGATTTGTTCCTGAAGCATTGTGGGCATTTGAATCCAAAAAAACTGGAGACTATCACGAAGAAATGGATGGTAACTCATTTGAAAATTGGTTCAAAAAAATTTTGCCGACACTTGATGATAACGCAATTATTGTGATGGATAATGCCCCGTACCACTCCAGAAAATTGGAAATAAATTCCAACAATGGCCACCAAAAAGGCAGACATTCAACAGTGGCTTGTCTCAAAGAAGATCGACTTCGACCAAACAATAGTCATAGCTGAGCTGATAAATATAGTCAAGCGACATAAGTATAAATATGATTTAAAAATTGTTGACAAAATGGCCAAAAACCAAAATAAAACGATTCTCAGGCTGCCTCCCTATCACTGCGAACTGAATCCTATCGAGTTGATTTGGGCCGACATCAAGCAATACGTGGCGTCAAATAATAGCACTTTTAAGTTTTCTGACCTTAAAAAACTGTTTGATGTTGCTGTCGATAGAATTACGCCAGCAAAAAGGAGAACATGTATTGACCATGTCCAAGAGAAGGTTGAAACCAAAATGTGGGATATGGACAATATCATTGACACCCAAGTTGAACCCCTTATAATTGACATCAACAATTCTGATGATTCAAGCTCCTCGGAATACAGCATATAAATCGATTGATACCATTAAGACTGGCAGTTTAACGGGCTTTTTGGCAAGACAGGTAAGTTCATTATAGACTGCAATCAAAGTGTAAGTTTCTAGTTATTAATGTGGAAATTCCAAATTTATAATTACACAAAATTAGGGTTAATTTAGGAGTTCCAAAGCATAATAGTGCCATTTTGACCTTCTTCCTATTTCTCATGTAAATTTTAATAGCAATCAAACTAACAAACTTTATGGAGTCTGTAATAAACTTTTGTACTACTACTACTACTACGTCTGTAGTTTCTATTTGCTAAAAAAAATTTGCTCTGCATTGTGAATAGAAGGTTGATTTGTAAATATTATTGGGTATATATGTAAGTTAATAATAAAATATGAACAATTTCAATTGAGATGGTCCACAAGTTTTTTTCGTGTGCGTTTTAGTAACATTTTGCTGAAATGGTGAATACAGAATTTTTTGCACTGATTCCTAATGTCGAAATATGATTAGAAAGGCGTGGTATATTCCTGATAATTTACTATGCTTTTGATAGAATTTACAGCAACACATATCTTGTACGACATTTTTTGATAGATCAGTCACAATAGCTTGATACGGCCCTGTAGCGTCTCCTACGGTTAAGTTCTTGATCACGTGCAATACGGGTGTATATGTTTGATTTTACTTTGTTTCTTCGATGGATACAGTTTAATTAATATACCCACACAAGAATCTAAAACTTACCTTTTAATTTGCCCATAAAATCACGAAATTTGTAAAATTATTAATTTTTGGTTTAAACGCAAAAAGCCACATGCCTCGAGTCAGATACAAAACAAACTAAGAAAAGTCAACTAGTATTTCGTAAACGCCTAGAAACACTAGAGGGCGTCCCGTTTTCTCTCGTTTCAGATTATGGTGCGCAATTTTAAAGTAAATATATCACGGAGGGGCAAGTCTCCCACCTGGGCAAGTCTCCCGGATTCCCCCTACATGTTCCTATACAGGGTGTTCCTTAATGATGTGCGAATATTTAAGGGTGTGAATCTACATGAAAAATCAATGTTAGTTTACTTTATAAAGTATGGTCCAAAAATGTTTCCTTACAAAAACTCGGGGGTGTTGAAGTTTTAGGAAAATAATGGAGCCAAAAGAAATTGTGTAAATCCGATTCTTGAACCGTCTTTGGTTGGTACAACTGGGAAAAGCCTGCTCAGGCTAGATCGCCGACCATTCGTCGGTACAGAAGAATCCCGGGACTGTCCGTTAGAGAATTTTCACTGAGCCCTCCTCTGTACAAGATCGAGCATGGTATGAATTATTTTTAGGGTCGAAGACCCCGATCCTTTTTGCACTTACCTGATCAAAAACAGTTCCATTAAGGCACAAAAATCTAATATCCATCGGTTCATCTAGTTGGCCGATGGTGCAGACGTGAAACATCTGACAATTCGTGTCCATATCTGCGTAGTATCCTCCTATAACCTTTCCCACACAGGAAAAGTTTGTATCTGGCAGATTGTCGAAGTCCAGGAACTACAAACAGACAAATGTATGATAAAATAATAAATAAATGACAAACGAGCTACTTACTCCAGGTTCAAGTGACAACGCCATATAACCAAATCCTAAGAGGTAGAGCCATAGGAGACCTGAAATTAAAAAAAAACATTTTATCAGACATTCTTGAGGATACATAGATAGACATTTATTTTCAACAGACATGTGTGCAACCAATAGCAGGAAATGCCTAAAATCAGTATTTCTAGATGTCCAGCGTTCCGTGGCAGCGCTCTATTTTGAGGTTATGTTACAAACATCTATTTGCATCAAATTGTTCATGCTTTTGATTCGTATCTTCTGTTATATCACCCTCAAATTTCTACAGTTCAAAAAGAAAACTTAACCTCACAATATGAGAACGCTGACTCTGACATAAAACAGTAGAAATCTAGAAATTCTCAAGGAGACAAAATACTATGGAAATCAACAAGGCTATAAAGGCGTCCTAAATTGTGGTAACGACTGACGTAATAGTACTTGAACAAATTTTCCAGACAAATGTATTCTCTACAATATAAGGTATTTTTGTGGTATCTCTTTCCCTTTTAGCATCTAGAAATAAGACAAAGCGTGAATTTAAGGTGGTACCAAATTTCTGCTTTGTGGGACTTGTTCAGACTCGCAAAATACGTACTTCAAAATTATTTCTCGAAATAAAAGGTGCTATTACAGACTATAATCTCTCTATACAGGGTTATCCAAATTAAGTGTCCACCATTAGTAACTTTGTTATTAGTGAAAATACAAAGTTGTTTGAATTAGCAAACTAGTAGCATTTTTAACGCTGGTAAAAATGAGAAATAAAAAAAAACAATTGAGAGTCGTTATTTTGATTTTTTTCAGTAAAATAACATTTTTTTAAATGGAAACCCCTGTATATTATATTTTTTCTGTTAAAGCATCAAATTTTAAACAAAAAAGCTTACAATAACTTTTCTCCTAGGTTACAAATTGTTGAAGTTATGGCCTCCAATCTGAAACAATTAAATTGTATCGACAAACTTTATTTTCAACATCAACTTATAATCTTACAAAATACAATAACAATTTTTTTTAAAGAAGATGCTCGAAAACACCACCTTGTTCTTCAATACATTTTTGGGCACGTTTTTCAACTGCTCGAACTGTCTTAAGTATGGTCCTACCATCTATCTGGGTTATCTTTTCCCTAACTGCAGTCTTTAACGCGTCAAGGTTATCGTACCTTCGCTTGTAAATTTGGTTCTTCAAGTAACCCCACAAGAAGTAATCAAGTGGGCTTAGATCTGGTGATCTGGGAGGCCACTGTATTGGGCCATTTGTTCCTATCCACTGATCATTAAAAGTAGTACTTAGAAAATGATAAGTACCTCTGGAGTTGTGGGCAGGTGCGCCATCTTGCTGAAAATGCAGATGATGTCTACTTATAAGATCCAATTCGTCTAAGAAATTAGTCAGAATTTCTGACATAAATTCCACATATCTTTCACCAGTTAGGGTTCCCTCATAGAAGAACGGGCCAACAATTTTTGAACCAATTATACCGCACCAAACGTTGAAACTGAAACGGACTTGTGGGCCTCTTGGATGTACTAACAAAAGATTTTCTCTTGACCAATAATGGTGGTTTTTTCTATTAAACATTCCAGAATTTGAAAAATTTGATTCATCTGTCCATAAAAGGTAACGAAAGTTATTTACATTTTGGCGACAGAAGCTAAGATACCAATGGCAAAAAACAAGTCTTCTCTCTGGATCCCCTGCCAAAAGCGTTTGAACTGGTCGGTACTTATACGGAATAAATTTGTATTTTTTTAAAATCCTTTGAACAGTACTATAACTGAAATTAGAGTCCTTGAGAATATCTGCTATTAAATTCTCACGATAAGCTTCAAAATATCCAATAACTGCAATTTCCGTGGCCTCGCTTATTATGAATTCTTTTTTTGCCCTTGTTTTAGCAAAAACATTTTCGTTGCCCCTAAATTTTCGATAAAGTCTCAGAAAATATCGTTCATACGGTTGAATGCGAGCGGGATATAATTCACTTGCTCTCAAGGAGGATTTTCTGCACACTAAATAGCATTCTAACATATCACACTTTTCTTCATGGGAGAACATTTTTCTTTAAATTAATGACACAATAAAGCTTATAAACAAGTATTTACACTAATGTTTGACATTATTTGATTTTATCATTGTTTTCCAAAGCCTTCTAGTTGCGAGTATGTCCAGTTTAACAATTTGTCGCTTATCTTAATGCTGTCAAATCGCGAACGCCATGTTGTTTTCATAGCCGTCTTAATATTATAATACTGCAAATAATTAAAAATATTTATCGTTATTTTGACTTTATTTTTGACTTTAGCGGAAAAGTCATTATGAACTTTTTTGTTTAAAATTTGATGCTTTAACAGAAAAAAATATAATATACAGGGGTTTCCATTTAAAAAAATGTTATTTTACTGAAAAAAATCAAAATAACGACTCTCAATTGTTTTTTTTTATTTCTCATTTTTACCAGCGTTAAAAATGCTACTAGTTTGCTAATTTAAACAACTTTGTATTTTTACTAATAACAAAGTTACCAATGGTGGACACTTAATTTGGATAACCCTGTATACCAAATTTCATAAAGAACCGTCCAGCCATTTTGGCGTAACTGAGCAACAAACATCCATACTTTCTCATTTATAAAAATAATTTCAACTTGATTCTTTAACACGTGCAGCCCCCTAAGCGGGGGTGACACCACCCCCAAAATCTTAAATGGAAAGGGGGGATCGAGTGATACCTTATTTTAAAGGTCTTTCAATTCCCTTTATAATGCCGTAAAATTAATGTTCAGTAGTTTTGAAGATTTATTGATTTAACGCTTAAATAAAACTAATACATCATCATTAGTGGAGATCAATACATTTGGCAGCAAAGTAATTTAAAAATGAAGAATGAGCTGACCCGTTAGGCAGGTAAATGTTGAAAATGGCAACCATGACTCTCCATGCAATAATAAAGATTTTTCTCAAAACGTTGCCGCACATTTTGCAATATTTGAGGAGTAATTTGAAGGCACTCATTCACAATTCTTTGTCGCATGTCTTCTAATGATGTTGGCTGAGTAGCATAGATTTTGCTTTTTAAATGACCCAACATAAAGAAATTCAAAGGTGATAAATCTGGCGATCTTGGGGGCCATTCAATGGCACCTCTTCTACCAATCGCAATGTACTGCCGATCATTCTGATTTTCAACTATGGCTGTTAATGCAGGATCTATAGCGCCTTAAAATAATTCCAAATACATTTCACCGGTCAAATTTCCAGGTTAGAAAAAAGGACCAACTAAATGATCATCAAAAATACCAGTCCAAACATTTAATTTTCGTGGCTGCTGTGTATGAATCTCATGATAAATTTTGGGATTAGAATCGGACCAATATCGGCAGTTATGACGATTTACTATGCCATTTAAGAAAAAGGAACATTAGTCGGAAAAGCAAGTGTTGAATAGAACATCGTATCGCAAAGCAGTTTTCGAGCTTATTCGCACTCGGTTGCGATGCAATCCAAAAACTAGATCAAGTAGTCACAAAGTTAATGCCACAAAGAAAAATGTAGACCAAGTAACGGATAATATTTTTCTCGTTAATGGCAGTGATAATTCTAATTTTGAAATGTTTACATACTCTAAAACAAGGCAAAATCGTAGCGAGGATTCTACAAATATTGGGCCCGAGAAACCTGATATAGTAAAAGCCCACAAGAGTTTATAAATTCATTACATAGTGATCCTGGCAGCATCGCTATGATAGTTCCTAATTGAAAACTTTTACCGCGACGCTGTTGAGCATTCATCCCAAGATGTCTCAAGCGAGCGACGTAGATGTGACAGAAGAGATCAGTATATCGCGATGAAGATGGTAGTTCCTAATTGAATATCATATATACAGAGTACAAGCTTTCCCTCGAAAGAACTTTTATCTCGAGATGTCTCAAATGTGTCAGATAATGAAATCGACATTAAACCCGATATCTCTGATTAAGTTGAGATCAAAGGTGAGGCGACTAATATAGAATGAGGTTAACAGTGTCCCATAACTTCACGAACTTTACAGCATGCTCAACAAAATTTTCTCCGTCTGCTTAAAACCACTCCTCTGAGGTAAAGATCACCTGCTGTCGTAGTACTTTTACATTTCTTGCTATACGTTTGGGAAATAGAAATCTCTGGAGGCCAGTTCTGGTGAATACCATATGGTTCCATGCAGGCATGCCTGACGAAATGGTACGCCTGTGGTTAACTTTCCTCGACCTTTCTCTTTAAGATTTTCTGGCATTTTTGATGCGTTTTTTATTGGCGACTGACCCAGGTTCCCGAAATTTAGCTACAAGCTCTAGAACAGATTTTCGATGCACGTTACTGTTCTCATGTCGCTCATTAAATATTTCTGCTGTTATATTAGCGCACTGATTATATCCGAAAAATATTTCGATAATTTCATCTCTTTCTGCTGTGGAATATACCATGGTTAATTTATGTAATGAAGCATTACAAGTTATTTTAGCAACAAAGTTTGTTCAAATCAATCGCAAACTATGTACTAAATTCCTATTTACAATAAGTACGAGATATTTCCTTATCTTTCTTCAAGAAATAACTTTTTTGCCACAAAAAAACGCTCCAATAGCTATTTTCAACAACAAAATGATAAACAAACCATGGGTGTAGTGAAGAAAAGCATTTACTTATTAAGGAAATTCTTTTAGTCAAATTTCTTCTGAAAGTAGTACAAACTAATCTGATGTACCTATTAAAGTCTACTTTAAGCTTTAAATCAATAAATCTTCAAAACTACTGAACTGAAGCTCGTGTATTTTACATCATTATAAAGAGAATTGAAAGAGCTTTAAAATAAGGTATCACTCGACCCCCCTTTCCATTTAAGGTTGGTGTCACCCCCGCCCAGGGGGCTGCACGAGTTAACGTAATTTTTTGCCAAACTTGTGTCCCCCGGGTCTGAGCCTTTTTCAAAAAAAAAAAACTGAGCTGCCAGTAACTGCGTCTGTTTCGTTTTCGATGCGCCACCCTGTTATATCTAGGCATCGACAAAATGAGAAGCAACTCGAACTTCGTGGA